GTCCTTCGAGGAAAGTTGGTCGCGTGGCTGCGATCCGGCGCGTTAACGTTCGCTCCTCGAGCTTCCCTCCTCGCGTTTTTCCTCTCCAGTTAAACACTAATTAAAGTTGCCGCGACACCGCAAGCTCCGGCGCGTCTGCTTGTCTCCTCTTTTTCTCCGCTGCCTTTCATCCACTCCACGCCCGTTATTAAAGCGTCGGACACGCGTAGACCAGTCCCACCGCTAGAAAACCTACCACACTTTTGACCTAACTACGAGCCACTGTCGCCGATAACCTACAACGACGAGCATGATACCCGCAATCACCGGTGACCGTGGTATATCCACCGAGGCCGCAAAATTCACCGCACCATCGACCAACGTTGTTCAGGAAATGACGTCGCTTTCTGGCGACGAGGTTCTTCGAACTTATTGCATCCGCTTCCAATGCCTGCCGCACTATCCTCTCCACTAAATCTCCGGTCACGGAGATCTTTTCCTTTTTTCGTTCGACACTGATTACGCTTCACGATGGACGTAACGCAACGTTTTGCGAGGTAACTAGTTTTCGATACCAGCGACGAAGGGAGGGAAATTATTATTATTTCCGGGACAATTCTTCTGCACGAGCCGCTGCGAGTTTTCGGTTCGACGGGAACCTCCCTCGAGGAAGGGAGTGAATATTCTTAGGACAGACAATTTTACGGGCGAGTCGAGCTCCAATTTCTCTCAGCAATTCTCCAATATCACTACCGTGGAGGATCAAGGGCGCGCAGGAGATTCGATCGCGAAGCAGGCGCTACGAAGTCCGATCCGTCGATCGCGTAATTGGTAATCCAAATGAGGAAGCGAATGGTCCTTCGGTCGCGTTAACTTAGCAACGGGTTTTCCGTTTGCCTGGAAATGATCCAAGCAACGACAGAGGGCCGCGCAGAGGCCTGCAATCTCGTCAATGGCCGCGAACTCTCTAAAATCGATTCTGCGAAGATTCAGCGAATCTCACCGGTCACTCGATCACTCAGCCACCATCTTCGCGCACGCAGGCTAATGATTATCTTTCTTTCTCCGCTGTTTGGCGCGCTTTTCCCTCGCAATCGCCTCGTCCTTCGTCCTTCGAGGTATCACTTTGTTCGACCGATCCTTTCATCGGGATGTCCGCACCACTTCTAACAGTTACGGCGAGTGTCCGCGAGAATCCACACGGAGATTCGTCGAATGATCTTCAGTCGCTGTCGAAACGAAATCGACACGTGTGCGCGAACCGGCCACCAGTCACAGCGTATCTGTCTCTTTGCCAAGAGATCGCTGGTACGATCGGGGAAACGGATGGAAACGCGTGCTCCCGAGATTATTCGCCGCGCGTTGCAGGCTCGTAATAATTTTTCCGACGAACGGATCGCGCGGATGGCAGGGGGGGGTGTAGAAGGCGCGCGAAGGGTAGCCCGACGGCGCAGGTCCACACGACGCAGTAACAACACGTGGTCCTCGACCGACGGCGGACGGCACACTGACGGAGAAGACGAGCAAACGGCGCGGCGACGGACGCGCAGCCTGCAAAGCCTCCCGAGGAGGTGGAGGTGTCGGAGGAAAAGCTGCGGGTGGGGCGAAAGGGGTGAAAGGGATCTCGACGTGTACACGGTGCCTACCCCGTTGCTCTGATCCAAGGGCCTGAAAGGGACGTTTCGTCCTACCGGCGAAAGAATACGCGTGCGAGTGTAGAATGCTACCGTCGCCGATAAACATCCGGGGAAACGAATGCGGAATGCGACGCACATGCGTTCTACCATGTTCGATAACTCCGGCCGCACTTCCTCCCTCGCCCAGAGTTTTGCCCGAAATTTGATCGGTCAACGAATGCAAGATCGCGTCGAGATCATTTTGCTCTCGCGTCATTCAGTCGACGCAACTTTTCAATCGCGATCGGAACTTTTTCGACCGGTCGGAACTGTCAGGTTCTATTTTTTTTTTTTTTTTTTTTTTTTTTTTTAATACTGGTATTGTAGAAAAAAAATCATGCGATTGACGTGTTTCTAGCTACTATGTTCATTTAAACTTTGAACTTCACGAAAGTGTTTGTGACTTGATTCTATAATTTCAAGTGAAATTTCAAGAAAATGTATCTGTAGCACCGTGATGTGTTATTTCTTGGTTCTTATTGAGTTAAACGTGAATAGGAACGCAAGCTAATTATGTTTATTTCGTTTAAACGGTGGAAAAATTTCCGATATTCTTCACGCCATCGTCGAGCTCGAGTGAAATTCAGTTCCATTCGTAAACTTTATATGCGAACTATGACAAACAGCTAAGGACGATCCTTCCCCGAAAACAATCGCGACAGCTATTTTATATATACACACACACGCGGAAGCCATAGCTATCCATGCAATTCCGTATTTTTCTTTCGAATAGAATATTTCCTCAATTCGATAACCAACGATCAATTTTCCATGCACAAATATTCCGTAGACATATCTACATTGCTGACTGATTTCCTGTGTTCGCCAGGAACGAAATTTCAAAAGGCACGCGTAGAACGCATACAGAATCTAGAGAACGATTCGCGGCGACGTTTCTATTAAGAAAAAAGAAGAAACAGAGAAAAAGAAGAGAGGGAGAAGTCGAGGCGAGGACGTTTAGCCGCCGGTTTGGTTCGAGTCGAACGACAAAGCTCCCGATAGTCGCGTTTAAGATACTTACGCGCGCTCGGTCATCCGTGGACGAGTGTTCGCTTTTTGCTCGGTGTCGAAGGTGGTTTACAGTGGTTTAGGAGAGCTGGAAGCAAGTTGGCCGGGCAGAGCGGGCGAAAACGAGAGACAGAGAGAAAGAGAGAAAGAGAGAGAGAGAGAGAGAAGAGACAGGGTCAGCAGGACGGAAGAGATCGAAATAGGGTGAGAGACCTCCGGGCGAAAGAGGCGGATGAGGAAGCAGATGCTCTCTGACTGATGTCACGGATCATGGTCATCTTAAAAGCTTCTGAAAGGCAGGAATGCCACTCGCGTTTTCTGAAAGCTATCTTTTCGACGAGGAAATGCTATCTTACTCGAGGTCTGCGCGTACGTGTGCCGTGCTGCACGATCTCGTCAGTACAACATGCACGTGAAAAAAAAAAAAAGAACCTGCGAAAACCGTCGTCCCTATTTCCCGCGATAATGACTTTATTCGTTACCAGTGACGAGCGACTTACCGGATGGAAGGGCCATCGACAAAGGATTAATAACCAAACCGGATCCTTTGCTCCCTGTGCTCATGCTACCAACGTATCCGTTTCCATTTTCCCGATCGGTTTCGTCCCCTCGTCGAAATTAAATCTGCGCAACGTTGCCCGCCCGTCGCTGCTTTGCCTTGTACGTATTACCGATGCAGGAGCTATCGGTCGAGGATAAGACGTAAATATCTCACGTTTTGCTTCTATCGATGGATTTCGTACGAATCGGCGCGCAAATCGATCACGTCGCGTATTATCGCGTCACAACGTAATTTAAATTGAAACTGAAAATTTCACTCAGCATGTACCTTTGATTTTCGGCATTCTAAAATGGCGAACGCTCTGTCGCTGTCGTTCTCCCGCCCTCTGGAACGACGTACAATTTCTAATCTGTACACACACGCGCACACACACACGCACACACAAAATACAATATATGAATGCCAACAGTCAAACGACCAACGCGACCCGTTTAATGCACTGCCGTTTAATACACATTTCCGTGACGACTGTAGAAAAATCACGCTTAATCGGAACGCGGCATGGGATCACGTGACATGGCGGCCGGCACGAACGCCAACGAACGCGCGCGAAAATCGCGACTTCCCGAGACCCCCGATCGAGCGACGTTATACACAAAAGTCCGCTATTAACGCGACCATTAAGGCTCGCAGGCCTCGCAAACCGACACGGTAAAAACGTTTCGGTCCCGTGAGATCCGCATTGAAGATTGCGGCGACGATTTCTTTCACGCAATACCGTTTACTCGGATCTTTAGAGAAACGACTGGCCACCCGACTGGCTACCCGACTGGCCCTGCGTCATTTCCCGGAAATGACCACCTCCCGCCAAAAAATGGCCGCCCAGTTTAACAACCGTCTATCCGCCGTCGCGAGACGGTTCTGAACGTCCGTGCACTTCAGCGTTACACGAAAACAGGCAAACGTCACGGGAAAACGAATAGCTATTCCGTCTAATCGCCACGGCAGTTTGTAATTGAATTATTAATGGAGTGATGTTATCGGCCGGCCTCGGTCGGCTGTAATTTACTTTTGTAATTCACGGCGAGATACCGCGGCGGGAGTGATGTGTATGGGTGGGGGGAGAGGAAGTGGGAGTAACCTAACAGAGAAAACAGATCGTTCGCGACAATCGCCACAATTTATAAAAGGCCACTGTAAATACCGCGTCGGCCGGCGGGGCGATCTCGTTATCGCGGCCCGTTCGATTTTCCGTCAAATTTGCCACGAAATCAAGCTTCGGGGCGCAATTGTCGCTCGCTGCGAAAGAAATTTCTTTTTTTCTTGTTGTTCACCGGAATATAATTTATTGTGTAGAAAGAACGGTATATTGCAACGAGCGTCGGCTCGTTCGTGTCTCCCCTCTGCTTTATCGAGGAAAACGTGTTTGCCAGAGTTATCATCGTCCTTCTGCACACTTATGTCACTTTATGTAACTTTTTATCCACGACGCGGCGGTTTTTACCGCGGTTTCGCGACACGATCCGACAACGATGTTTCGTCGCTCGTACCATCGGAGAGACTGACGTGATCTGGTTTCGTGGTTGGCCGTCTGTGGCGCTAGCTGTCTGTCGACTGTCGAAGCGCCCAATTTTCTACATTACCGATTCCGGCAGTTTCGGTTCGTCGCGCCGCGGCGAATGTTGACTTTCCTAATTACTCGTCAACCGTTTGCTTGGCTGTCAAGGTTATTAACCCTTAGTCGCGGTAAAAAAAGACAATTCGTAAACAGCGGTTTGAAAATACGTAGAATCACGAGGAATAAAAGAGAGGTTCATTGAGAAAGATGCGCAGCGACGTCGCGCCGGCGAAAGTATACAAAAGCTTTTATTAATAATTAGGTACATTTACTCGCATATAGTGTTATACTGAATTAAGCTCGTTCTCGTAAAGAAGACTACGTGAGAATCGCTCTGTCGCGCGAACGCTCTCTTCCACGTCGTCTATGTCGTTTTCCATTCCATGGATGTTCGATGCCAAAGGCGTGCACCTTCGTGACTTCTGCAACTTCAACACGATCTTCGAGAGAGAAGAACGAGCCGTTCCCCTTAATTGATGATCTTCGCTGGAACCTCGAAGCACGCGACCGTGCGGTTCTTGTCCATCAACGCGTAGTGAATGGTCATGGAGATCTACGAAACATCGTAATGGCCTTGAATGCACGTGGTCGTGGTCTCAGAAGGAAGATAATCAAATTTGTCACTTTCATGTAAGTACGAGTTTCGAAATCAGCCGAGCCGTGGCTCGTGCACGATATCGGCCCGTTACTAGATCCGTCTACTGGTTACGATAATGCTTATCTGCCCGATTAACGAGCAGCGGTACGAACCCCCGTTACAACGAACGCGCATCGCTTACCATAGGATATATCTGCAACACAGGGAACTCGCGCTTGTAGATGTAATCGACGCCTTTCTTCAGCGAGCATCCAGCCGAAGTTCCGTCCAGATTGAAAATGTTGTCGCATGCGGTCGTCCCATCCACGCCGACGAACGGCAACGGTACACCAAAAATTGACGCGCTCACATTGTTTACCACGTTCTCGGCGTCCTCGTCCGGTGTGAACTTGTATTCGATCGACGCCTTCGTCCTGCGTCTCAATTTGCACGGTGGGACGTCGCAGCCGCTTATCTTGACCGAATTCGGATCCTCGAACGTTTTGCCTGGAAAAAAACACGTTCGATCAAGTAGTGAAAGAAAAAACAAACCCGTGTCGTAAAGCAAATGTCGCGTTACATAATTTCACGATCTGCTGATCTCTCCTCTTAGTTAGAATGAACCTCTTATCGCGAAGAAATATTTTTAATATTTTGCAACGTGCGACCGTAGAACTACTTGGCACTGATTCGACCCGGTTGATCCGTCGATAATAACCAATTTCTTTCAGCTGGATCGTTTAACAGTAGAATTACCACTGTGCTTGAAACGACCAATTATATTTCATAGAGATATTCATTCTAAATTGACAAAGTTGTATTTCTAAAGATTGGAATAATTTTTGATGAAATACATAACTGTAAGCTCATATGCTATAAATAAACTGCGGATCTTTGTGCATTTTTATATTTTTACGTGGACAGAGATAGATTGTAACTATGAATTTATTTTATTTTATTAAATATGATAACAAATACTCCATTTTGGATATTTTATACATTTTATATATTCTGTGTATTGCATAAAATGTATGATATATGATATATTATTATATATTTATATAAAATATAAAATATATTGTAAAATATTGTACGCAGAAATGCATACATATCCGCAGTCTAATTATAAACTTTTATAGCATTAATTTAGTATTATTCTCTTGAAGTATAAACTTTTATAGTATTATTTCCTCAGTGTTACGAACTCTTTCTTATTTCGTGCACTGTAGTTTCTCTGGTACATGTTTCACGCTTTAATCATCGATAGTTCCAGCGTTAATTACACGCGGACGATATCGTGCTTTATATAATAAAAGCCAGACTCTACAATGTTAAGGAAAAATAAAATTCTACGACGTTAAAAGAATTCTATACGCTTGATATTGATGAAATGAAATCGTTAAGATCTGCAACACATATAATGTCAACTTCGAATGAATTTACATTGTCAACAAGAACTTTATCCGTATTTATACAAATTGATAATTTTCGGTATCATAGATGTAAATATACAGAAAATAGGAGATCCTGTCCAATGATTCGTTGTAAAATTTCAACTGTGTTTCGTAAACGAAAAAAACTATATAGTGGCTTCAAAATTGATACGTCATTGTGTTTATTATAACATTTAGATATTAAATAATTAAATCCCAGTATTAAATACTTTTATACGAAAAAGGAACAAAACGAGAAATATAAACGTATAGTGATTCCGAAAAATATGTTCACACTTTAAGTAATTAAATTTAAGTTTTACTAAATTTCGTACGTTTTATACTCTACTTTCATAACAATTTACTGCTATGAAAATGAAAGGAAAATATACAATGACACCAAAAAAATATCGTGTCCATAATGACATTTTACATAGCAATTAATTGGATTAAAATACATTGAATTTCGTATCATTTTATGGTGATTTCGTACGTATAAAAATTTATTGCTACGAAACGAGAATGATGACTCTAACAAATATTATCGCATTCCAATTAGATTCAAGCATGTTAAATTTCACATCAGCTTCTATACAGTCGCGAGAAATGACATTATAAAAATGGAACATTGAACATGATAAAAAAAGACGGTTCGTTGGAGAATAAGAATGTGTATCAATAACTTTTGCAGTAACTGTACATACGACTGCGAACAAATCGCACGGAAACAATTGGAAAACTATCCAATACATGATTTTCGAAACGATACTTAAATCGATATTACGATACTTCAAATTATCTCTAAATTGCAAAATCAAACGACGCGCAACGGTAGCAACAGAATGATATCTTTTGTACTTACTACTGCCGCAATAATTGACTTCGGTCGCACTGGCAACAACGAGCAGAGCTACGAAAACGAGAATGATTCCCCTCAACATCTTGGTGAAAGTGTTGTGCGCTGAAGAAGAGAAGTATCTCTGGGCAAATAGATCTCGGTCGTCCTCGCTCGCTTCGATCAGGTCCCAAGTCCGGCTCTCGACTGAGAGAGTTACCGTGGGATGTAACGTTATGGTTGGTCGGTCATTCGTCAAAGTTCACTTTAAATAGATTCCCCTTCCCAGAGGAGGCGGCCATCCCGGTGGGGATAGAGGAGAAAATCGCATCGCGGAATGGAAGGGATTCCGTAAATTTATGAAACTTGCAGGAAGACGGCGGCGAGTCAGACGATGCAACGTCAAAAGCACGTGCATACGACAGATCGAATTCTGATCGAATCACGTTCGCGAAGAATCGCAAGGTCTGTCGCTTTCTTGGCGACGATCACGACGCGAATGCCAGCCGTTCTCGTAACGCGAGAAGACGCGCGCGACGAACGATACGTCGCCGTGGTGCTTCCCCATACCACCTTTAATTTCTTTCCTTTTCTTCTCTCTCTCTCTCTCTTTCCGTTTTCTTTCTTTTTCTTTTTTTTCCTTTTTTTTTCTTTTTTGTAGGTGGATAGCTTGCAAACGGAAATGAAACGAGTTAGCGCAGCTACGAGGAACAAAGCACCGGAAATTAACGACGATGTTTCGCTCCTCTGATCGTACTGCAAATGAAATTCCTAGTTTCCACTTACGAGAATGACCTCCGATTAATGCTCGTAAACCTAACGCGTTCCGGCGTTCCGAAAACATCGTTTTCTCGTTCCTTCCTATCGAATTCGAATAAATTTCCATTTCGTTTCCGCGATCGGATCTACGATTGTCCACAAAAACATTGGAATGTTTGCAGGAACCTTCTGTGAATACATCGCGTGTGCGTGCGTGTGTGTGTGTGTGTGTGTGTGTGTTATATAAAAGTTTTAAATTTCATTAACACTAACGAGACGCAACGGTTATGATTATATCGGTCAAGGTTAAAAGAACTCTGAAGATACATGTGTATATACATAAATTACGAGGTTATTAATACAAGTATATATCTCGCAGATATCAGATAAACATTTAAATAGCTTATGCACTATATTAAGAAATAAAAAGCCATTGTATTTCGAAGAAGTACATGAAATATTCAAATGATGAGTAAATAATAACTCGATGATGTATAACATCAAACAACCGACGACGTTATTTTTGCAGTCAACGATGATTGTAAAGGTTTACTTTTCAATATTTAATACCTGTTATATTCTTAAAATGTTTAATACCTGTTACATTCATGCCGTATACTAATTTCTTCATCAATAAATATTTCGTAACGTCTATATCATATTCTCAAACTATTTTGAAATTATAATCGCGACGATCATGTCTCATTACAACGTTAATAAAATTTCAAAATATTTTACACACATATACTATCATATAAGTAAGTTTTTCTATGATCAAATACCTTTATACAGTTTTCCTACGATAAACGTTTAAATATTTTTACGAGCCGCTGTAAATAAAGAGATAAATTAACCTTCGTTCCTCTTACAGTCTTATAAAGCCTCATTTTGTAATCACGTTATCGAATGTAAACAAACACAGCAAGGGCTAGAACGAGTATCGTTAAATGTCGTGTTATGTTATCCATCTACTTTGGACGTTATTACGTGAAATAACAATCATCGCGCGAGTCGTATCCATGATAAAAACGAACGTCGCCGGAGGACACAAAACGCAGATCGTGAAGTAGAAAGTCGTCTAGAATACAAACGAGAAGAGGTTAGCGACAATAACCTTGAGGCCCGGAAAAATGAATTCCTGATGAGTCCTTCTCGCGATACATCTTGGCTTCCTCGTATCTTTATTGCAACCTCGTAATTTGTGCATGCTCGTTAGCTTTATCCTTTGTCTGTCGATGCGTCGAGATAAAAAATGCGACTTACGGTTAGTGATGAACACTTTGAGAAGTGAAACTGAACCAGTGAAATTATTTTTTCAGGGAAAAATTCACTACATTTGAAAAATTTTTTTCAGGGAATTATTTATTTATTTATTAAGTTACGATAATAAAAAGCTGAGGAAATATATGAGTTTACACATATTTAAGCTTTGGAAACGATTAATATTTTAATTTTATTACATTCAGTTCACTAGATATAATACTTTTGTTCTGATTCAATTTTATACCTGTCCGAGATAAAAAATTATTTAAAAATTTTCAAATATTCAAAGCTTATCTTATTAATTAAGCTTATATTTAAAATATCAACAACAGGGTATTTATATCTATAAATCACAATTTGTAATAATTTTATAAAATATTTCAGATTCTTATTAGAAATATTTGTTTTATTCTGAGATGGAACAGCTCTTTAGCTGAAGGCTAAAAGGTGTAATTTTAATTAAATATAGAAAAGCTCCATAAAGAACACTTGAGTCTTGTAAAAAGTTTAGGAAGCACACCAAAAGTTTTAAATAATTCCTTGAACGATTTTTTGAAAAATAATTTTGGTTTTATTATATTGATGACAAATTTAAATCACTTTGAACACAATTCGAAACTTGAAAATCTTGATAAATTTTGAGTCCTCGTCACTTAAAATTCTTGAGAATCTTCTTGAAATTTCAAATTATCACTATTATTCTCTTTTTTTAGATTATAATACATATTACACACGTGTTGATATTTGAACAATATTTGAAACAAATCATATTAACGATATTTGAACAATAATTGAAACAAATCACGTATTTACGTTAACTTGATCATTCTGGAATTTCTAATATTTTGCTATTATTATTATTGATATTAATTGTTACTAAGATCCAACAATACAAATCCTACGTTACAAATTGACATTATGTGTCTAATCTGTATGCGCATAGTAATCCATGTACATACGTATCTTATCCTTAAATGCATCAAGAAAGTCGAGAATAAAGTCCAGCACATTGTCAGACAAATTATCATACAAATTGAGTTACATGATTTTCTTAAATGGATGTCGTAAATAACGATTAGTTTTAGAAACCAAAGAACAAGATAAAGATATCTTCTTTAATATCGTAAACAAAGTAAACCGAATACTTCAAATCTCTTCACTTTGAAGATATTCAAAACGATTAAGACTTTCCAAATTTTTAAAGCAATCAAGACATTCAAAACTTTGAATACTCAAGATCTGTCAAGGCTCAAAATTCATCAAGATTTCTAAGAATATTAAGCTTCGAATTACGTTCGAATTCTTTGTTTCACAATAATTCATAAAAATATTCGAATACATACCATGGAAAAATTTTTTACGACATATTTATTATGAGAGATAACTGCTATGATTATATTGGTATCTGAAAATATATATAAAACAATTATATGTATATACATCATGAAAAAAATATTGTGAAAAATATATGACTATGTTATGTACATAATAAGCATATACTGTTGAGATTTATTTATACAATGAATCATGACTGTTTAAATACAATACATTTGTGATCTCTGTAAAATGAATGCAAAATCATAACAGTTACACCTCACAAATCGCATTATATATAACACGCACAATATATTAACAAAAGATTTTTATAAACGTTCCAACAATTTCATAAACTATAATACACAGATTCGGGTCGTCTCGAAATACTTCGGATACAGTCTGACTAAATTCCATTATGTACAGTTGTGTCGTATGGCTTTCGAATAATTTAATAAAGCTCAACAGCAACGTTCTCGAAACGTTTGTCTCAGATCACTAAAATTTAGCAAGTTAGTCGAGTTAGAATAAGAAATGATTGTCGTGTTGTTTGGTTAGGGGTTAACAACGCGTTGCGTAAATAAAAATCACGTACTCGGAGTCGTGAAATATACGGCGCTACTTGATTCTTAGAAGCGCGATACAAAAAACATTCTCGCGAAGACAATTACCAATAGATGTGGACTTGTTTTCGCGCTTGTTAGTCCTCGCGCGTATACCTATCAATGAGAAATGATTTCATAGTCGATTTCCTACACGCCGAGCTTCCGGGTTCAACTGACTCATCGTTTTTGCTCGTCGCGATAGCACCGACACCTCTTTAATTTACTATTTTATTAAAAAAAAAAAAAAAAAAAAAAGAAGAAAGAGAATCATGTAAAAACCACGGAATTCGTTTCGCCAACTTTGAAAACCTCGGGGCGCTGCGTTCGCCGCAATATATGCGATACGTATACGCTACGCGCATGTTTTACGTAAATGAAGTCATCGCGTCAGCGGTAAATCTCCTCGAAACTTCCGTGGTCGAAACTCCATGTCGAAAAAGCCAGCTAGCGAACTGAGAAATTATTCAACGTGAATTAAAACATTTGAAAACATGAGTCATTCGAGTATTTGAAAATCAATATGACGAAAGATGTTATTTCGTTCTCGACGAGACATCTTTTTAGCTACGTAATTGGCACGTAATAATTACAGTAGTTTACTCTTTCGTTTTTATAACTTTATTTATGACTTTATTCTGCTTCGTACAATGATTACAAGTATTTATATTTTGAATACACTTCCGTGTATTACATTTTTTCATTGCTAGAAATCCATCAGAATTGTGTATTGATGGGCAGTTTCGATTATTTCGGCCAGGAGATTTTGATTTAAACAATCTATCGTGTTCTGGCCAGCAGGATCGGGTCAAAGTGACTCGTCGATCAGAGAATCGGTCGTTTGGACCCTTGTGGCTTCATTGAAGCTGGTCGATTGATGGATTGATCGATTGATTGTTGAGTTTATTCAGCTCAATTAGAGTATTCGGTGTATACTGTCCTGACTTTTGTTGAGTTCTTTCTGACGTGATAATACGAAAGTCTTAGGAAAGGTCTTCCTGAGGGAAGGAAATATCCTTTTTGATAGGTGACTGAAGAACTTCGTTCGAATGGGGTAGAACGTAGGAAGAAGCCATGGAAATCAGGGAGAAAGATACTCGTGCAGAGAAGAAAGCAGTGGACGGTTTAAAGAAAGAGATGGTAAGATAAGAAAAGCTAGACAGCTTGTAAAAAAAAGTTCTGATTTATGATTGGAAAGTTGTCACACTGTTCCCAGTTGTTTTAGAGTTACTCGCACGCTCGCGCGAACAAGCTGGACTAAGAGAATAAATTTATGGCAACAGCAATAAATGAAAGTAATTTACAGGAACAAGTTGCGATAAA